CCCAGCAGAGATGATGGCCACCACGGGCCCTGGGGCAAGGTGGAAGGCCGGCTCCGCGCTCCCGGAAGAGGCAGGGCTGAGGACAGTCAGTCCTTAGCACTGCCTGGACCACTGCATTGGGCCATCCCCAGCCCTCAAAGCCATGCGGACTGGTACTCCGGTGCTCCCGCAGCAGTTCAAAGGAGCCTTGGGCCCCAGGGCAATTGCCCCTTCCTCTGCCTCATTGGTGGGTCTGCCTCCACCTTACTTCCTGCCCAGACCCCACACCATCACCCCCTCTTGCTCCTATTTTGTCGTCATAGGTGGTTTGCTGGTTCGTCCATGGAAAGGATTACACTGGGTAGAGTGGGCTGTGGGCCTAAAATTTTGAGAACCCCTGACTTAGGAAAAAACAGCCGTCTATTGATACCAGTTACTGTTATGTGACATAGTAGAGGACTGTGCCGTGGATTTAAATATGCCAGTTATGGTGGTGACCTAAATTCCCACTAAGCTGTATGTGTACACAGCTTCCCATTAAACCCTGCACAGGAGCTCATGGTTGCAGCAGGGAGAGATGCCTCTCTCCAAGCCCCAAATTGTCCCACTCCACCGGCCTCTGCAGGGAGCTACCACGGCTCTGCCAGCCACGGCAACTCAAAGGAGTTCCTTTCCCTGAGCAAGAGCAGGTCTGTACTGGAGCCAGCAGGAAAGTGGCCAGTGCAGAAGGTCCGGCTTCTAGGTGGGGGGAACCATGGGGCTCCTCATGCTGTAGAGCCTCATACCCTCCTCCCCAAGGAGCTGGACCTGCTGGCTGCATCCAGGATGCAATGTGGTACCACAGGACAAGCAGGCACCAAGCAGCCTTCCTTGGCATCACTGCCCAAGTAAGCCCAAGCTCCCAACCCCTGCCCCACCCAGAGCCACTTCCTGCACTCCAAACTCCTCATCCCCAGCTCCGCCCCAAATTCCACATTCCTATCCCAGAGTTCTGCACCCCAGCCCTGAGCCTCTCCCCAAGGATGGAGCCCCCCTCTTGCATCCCAAATCCCTCATCCCCAGGCCAATCCTAGAACCCTCACCCCTCCTGCACCTAAGTACCCTGCCTTAGCACCTCCTGTATTCTGAATTCTTTGGCCCTACCTCCCACCCTAAACTCTTAATCTCTAGAGCCCCTCCCACATTCAGAACCCCTTAGCCCCATGCCCGCCACATGGATTTTGTTATGTGCACCAACATGAAGGTGATGTGTCACACATTGCCTCCACGTTGGTGCACGTAGCAAAATTTATTCCACTGAGAGGTAGGAAAAATTAGAAGGAACACTGGTGATGACCCATGTATGAGAGTCAGTATGGTACTGCAGGATGAAATTTTAATTTTTCAGTTTTTAAGTTTCTAAAAATCTTGGTAAATTTCGTCCAAATAACAAAGGCAAACTCTTAAATATTAGGAAATGTCAGAATTAAATTTGCCAGTGCAACCTTAATTCAGCTCTTTTTTTGCATAGGCATAATGATACTGTCTTTAAATAGTCACCTACACTTTTTTCCACAGGCTTTTTTCAGTATGTGTGTAGACAGACAGACAGACAGATACACGTGTACAGTTAATGGTGGCTTATTGTTATATATATTTCTGACCTAAATTCCAGGGCCTCATTGTACTAGGTATTATACAACATAATAAAGACCTGCAGTTGGTCTGCCCTGAAGAGCTTATCGATTTTTTTTTTTTCTTCCATCTAGGCTGCAGTTGATATAGGAACAGTAGAGGTGATGCAAAAAGTGACTTTGTTTCTTTCTGTGTTTCCTCTATTCTGGGGCCAGCTTCAGTCCTTCCCAGCCTCTAGCATGCATTAGAGCAGCCTGGCACTTTATGACTTCTCATAGCTGTTCAGAAGCCTGTAACCAGAATGTAGCAATGTAGAGGGGACATATGGCATACAATTTGGCCCATATTATACATACATACATACAACACACAAAACATGGGACACTTTCTAGGAATTAAATACTGGCTGGGAAGAGTTGCAGAACCACTCACCAGTTGTTAATTCCAATTAAATGCCCTGCACTATTGCATTGTTACTTTGAGAAGATGAAAATAGGGCTATGGATTTGTGTGTGTATGTGTGTGCATGTATGTGTGTGTGTGTGTGTGTGGCCATTCCAGTTAGTACATAGGGGCTTTACTGGAAAATTAATACTTTGCACATTAACCCATCTCATTACATGAATCATCATTCAACATTCCATGGAATTTAGAAGTTCTAAACCTGAATTGTTGAGCAATTGATACTTTCATTAGAGATCGTTAAGGAAATCACCTGCTCAGATCTGATTCTGCAAGATATCTGATATCACAGTGCTTAATGGGTCTGATCCTGAAAGATACTGATTTACCCCCGCAACATTCATAATGCTCTCAATTACCATTGTGTTCAGTGGTAGTTGAAGATGCTTAGCATGTCACAAGATTGGGCCATGCAATAACATAGAACTTCAAAAGACTCTATGATAAATATCCTTTGAAGACTGGATTACAGAGGATTTTCTTTTTGCCTTCATCTTGTTTCTTGTCTGCCTTCTGTTCCTCTATGCATTCACACACCACAGGAAATAGGAAAAGGAAGCTCTTCCCAGTAACACAGATTTCATTTCAAGGAAGGCATGAAATCTCACTAATTTGATTCCTCAACTTACATTTAAGAACTCCCTTTAGTATTGAAGATGAAATGATCTCAGAACCCAATGCTCATTTGATTTATGGAAGTTATAGAATCAAAACATGGCACTGAGCTTCAAGAAAGATGGACTCTTTGAAAAACAGGACAGTAGGACAGTAGTATTAACTTTGTGAATTAAGGACAAGGAGCAGCTCCCCATAGAGTAAGATTTATCTTTCAAGGAGTCTGCAAATTAAACCTCAGTAGTCTGTATTTGTGTGTGATTTTCTTTGAAACTACATGGATCTCTGCTACATACATTTAATAGTTATTCCTAAGGCCCTACCAAATTCATGGCCATAAAAAATTTGTCAGAGACCATGAAATCTGGTATCTCATTGTGAAATCTGGTCTTTTGTGTGCTTTTATCCTGTACTATATGGATTTCTTGGGAGATACCAGTGTTTCTCAAATTGGGGAACCTGACTGTAAAAGGAGTTTAAGGAGGGTCACAAGGTTATGTTGAGGGATTGAGGTATTGCCACCTTTACTTCTGTGTTGTCTTCACAGTTTTCTGTGCTGTGTCCTTCAGAGCTGTGCAGATGAAGAATGGTAGCTGCTGACTGAGGACCGAGTACTGCAGGCAGCAGTTCTGAAAGAAGAGTGGCAGTTCCATGCCATGCTATCCTTACTTTTGCACTAGTTCTGGCAGTGGCTCTGCCTTCAGAAATGGACTCCCAGCCAGCAGCCACTACTCTCCAGCTGCTCAACTCTGAAGACAGAACCACTGCCAGCAGCACCGCAGAAATAAGGATAGCGGTACTGCAACCTCTTCTTAAAATAACCTTCTGACCCTCCCACAACTTCTTTTTGGGTCAGGACCCCTACAATTACAACACTGTGAAATTTCAGTTTTTAATAGTTAAAATAATGAAAATCATGATTTTTAAAATCCTATGACAATGAAATTGTCCAAAATGGACTGTGTATTTGGTAGGGCTCTAATTCCCTAATAAAGAAAAAAATCCACCTTTTTGACCAGCCACATACTGTATAGGAGTCGGGCAAAATTTAATTCTAAAACACCAAAACTCCTCAAACATGTGAACAGGCTTCACAGGTCAAATGGAACATAGTGTGTCCTGATATTTCATACTAAAGAGGCATGCAGCTGCAATTCTTTTCATTTGAGACAAATTAGGATTAAGATCCTGTAAGCATTGTGTGTATATGTGTAATTCACTGAAGTCAATTAGAATTGCATGTGCCAAGGTCTTGAAACATTGGGCTATAGGTGTGGCAAGTTGCCAACCCCGCACTCCCGCCCCTGTGGATAAAAGCTAGAGTTTAGGTATCCCTGTTTTGCTCTCTGATCTTTAAGCTGTTTTCCTTGAGTGTTCCTCTGTTCAAACATCTACCTATTAAAATCACAATAGCCTGAGAAGGACATAATGGGAGGAAAGAGAGAGGAAAAAAAGAGAGAAAAATAAACCTAACCTTGCATTAAATTTTTGATTGGGAACTGAATAATTGGGAAAAGTAAGTGCTTCTAATAATAATGCAAAAATAGTTAAACATAGATTTTTTTTAAAGAACACTATCAACTAACTTTACAGTTCCTTGTGAAAACCTCTTTTTCCCCTCTTGTTTTTTTGAATTGTTGTTATCCCCTCATTCTGTCCCTTACAGCCCTTGCCTAATAATGAAGCAGAAATCAGTAGCCATTGTAAGTCTGGGGCAATGAATTTTTAAAATATAATGGACTAAAAGTACTCGATGTAACTTCAGTGAAGTTAAGAGTTTCTTCAGTGATTAATGTGATCCATTCTTTTTAATTTACATATCAGAGCACTTTTCTCATTTAGTATAACAGTTTGAAAAGTTGTCACACATGTGGTCTAAATACTTGCTGGTGTTATTTTAAAGTTTAATATTGCCTTGTGCAGTTTCTTAGGAAAGACTGTGGACACAAGGCAGCTTCATATGTACACTCCTCACATGGAGCTATGCTTACATCCAAAGATTAGAAGGACCAAGTAAAGTGGGCATCTTACCAGTGTAGGCTGAAACCAATGAAAATCTTCCTAAGATGGATGATGCGATAGGGATTGTTACTAAAGGCTGTGGTAACAAGTGTTCACTAGGGCCTCTCACCTGGGGAGGGCAGAGGGCTTTGCACATCTGTCATCCTCACTGGTTCTCCTGTTACACTTCCTAAAAAGAATTTAGCCATATGGAATCCCATAGCTGTAGCTTGTGCGAAAGAGTTTCGGTTCAACTAGGATGTAGATGTCAAAGGTCAAAGTTCATTTTTTGCCTTCTTCTTTCTCACCCCCTTCCCTCAATTTTGTAGGGCGATATCCATGAGGATTTTTGCAGTGTTTGCAGGAAAAGCGGGCAGTTGCTGATGTGTGACACATGTTCACGTGTGTATCACCTGGACTGTCTGGACCCACCTCTGAAAACCATTCCCAAGGGCATGTGGATCTGTCCCAAATGTCAAGACCAGGTATTGTTTGAAAGATAGGGAGTTTCACATCACATACTACAAAGATTTTCCAAGTTAAAGAAAATAACCTGATCACTTGGCTTAGTTAGATTGGGACAGCCTGACATTGAACAAATCTATTTGGTCTGTAATTAGGCTTGTGTGAATTTCATCAAATTGCCACTGTTCTAATGCTCACAAATTCTAAGCCTTTAAGTCTTGCTTTTTGTGCTCCCAGATTCAGGGTCCTTTTGTGTTACCCTTGTGTTTCAACTCTGCTTTTCTGGGGCAAAGCACACAAACTTTTGGGAAAGGTTCTCTGTGACCGATAGGGATTTTCCTGTAGCTTTTCTACCTAGAATTTCTCTGAAAGGCAGTAGTTCTTTATCCAAAGTGAATAGGATATTTGCACAAGCCTACCCTTAATAGAGAGAGAAAATGCTGAGCCACTGCTTCATGGTAAAACCCAAACATTTTTGTTCTCTTTCATGATACATTCAGTGTCAGAATAATAACTATCAATGAATGACTTGAACATTCTTCCCTCAAAATTTCTATGTACAAATATATAAATGGATTGGACTAATGAGATGATATTTCATCCACTAATGGCATAAAGATTACAAGATAAAGAAGCTATTAACATACTGTCTGACGTAAGAGGGTGCCCTAGTAGTCCATGTGAGCCTCTGTTAACCAGCTGATAACATTCGAGAGCAACCTGGCATTTCCATATGCATGTTACATAAAGCAACAAATAAACAGAAAGTCCCAGGAAATTAAGATACTCAACATGGCTGTAGATGAAGGAGAGGGAATAGACTTCTTTTTATTCCTCTCCCTCCCCCTCCATGACCACCACCTATTCGTGCTTTACTGAAAAGTTACCAGAAAAATATACCTAAAAGTGTCAAAGACATTTTGCTTTAGAGTGACTCCAACCTCAGTCCCCTGAATCATTCCTCTGGTGATTTACCAAACTCGTCCTTCCTCTCTAGATAGGGTCTATGAAGAGGGATTCTGTTTATCCTCTTAAAAACAAGAATGATGCTTATCCTAAGGTTTGGCAATGCCAATAACATAATACTGAGAGCAGGTGGAGATGGGAAAGTGTCATGTCTTATGTGTTTGAAAGTGTGAAGTTCATATGTGTGGTGTAGAGGCTGTTCTGTGCCATTAGAGGGGTTCTCCTGGGAACAACTTAGATCAGCAATTTGTCTGAGCCGTGAAGTCACTGTCCTGTCTTCTGGCAAGTTTGAGATCAGATATGTTGTCTTTTCATTCCTCTTTAACCTATGAAGTTTCAGGAGCACACACATTTGTGGTTATGAGGGAGAAAATGAGAGAGAAAAGTGAGAAAATGCTGACATTTGTGATAAACTTGCCTCTGTTGTGGAGGCTATAATACAGATGCAAATAATTCTGTTGAACCTTGGACCAGGATTGCAAGGCATTATGTTAACAGGTTGTGTCTAATGATAGCCACGAAAGAAACTTTTTTTGTCTCTTCCCTTTTTCTTTCTCCCTTTCCCAGAGGTAAAATGTGTGCAAGCTAAATGTACACACTCTTCTTTCAGATGCTGAAGAAGGAAGAAGCAATCCCATGGCCAGGGACTTTAGCAATTGTTCATTCATATATTGCATACAAAGCAGGTAGGAAAACAGAGAACACCTTTGCTTTTGTTTTCATGTTTGTACAGTGCTATTTTGGGGACTGGGATTGGGAAGGATGTGTTTTAAGAAGGAAATTAGATGGGGGGGGACCCCTGGATAGTCCAAGTAATAATATGAAAAGAGCAGGCTAAGTACTTTGTGGAAGCTTCATGTGACTCTTCATTTATGCAAGTGCTATTTCAGGTATGATCCAATGTGTCCATGTGCGAAGCAGCTTAGGGACTCCATTTGAAGGGCATAATGGGACCCTTTTAATATTTATCATTGAGAGGATTATTATTTCCTTTTATAGCAAAAGAAGAGGAGAAGCAGAAACTACTTAAATGGAGTTCAGATTTAAAACAAGAAAGAGAACAGTTAGAACAGAAGGTCAAACAACTCAGCAATTCCATAACAGTAAGTATTTTTTCCACTGTAATATTACACTTGTTCTCTGTAGCCCTTTCATTCTAGCACCATGCAAACAGGCAGAGTGTAAATCTGGAGACTGGTACTTGGAGGCCTGATCCAGCTCTTATTGAAGAGAGTGGGAGTTGGTTAAATTTATATTTGAACTTTGCTGTTTCTCCTACCCTTTGGATCGTTTGAATACTTAAAGTACAGCCAACATAAACTCATTCTAGCTTTACCTTTCAGAGATATACAATAACCCATAGCACCAACAGTTGACAAACACAACTCATGGAGATGTATAATGGACCCTATGACTCTTATCTTTATTACAGAGGAGCAGCCCTAAGTGGCTACATGTCCCAGTATCTAGTTCTTCACTTTATTCTGAGTCAGTAAGCCAAATTGCATCATGGAACTTAAAGCCTTGGTATATAGTCTTGTCATACCTAAAATGAAAGCAAGTGCAGTGGAATCCATGTTACTCACAGGTTTGGCTCAGAGGTTGATGGCAAGTTACCAAGGCAGTCTTAATTTGAGCAAACTTTGGGTGCCCCTGCCTAATATTAATTAAAGCTTGCCACACTTTTTTTCCCCATCCAGAAACCATGTTATCCACCATATTTTGTAACAGTAATAACTAGAACCTATGTGTAGCACGTAATTTTCTCTAACCATAACACCAGATATAAACATGAGCCCCTCAGGAAGGCCTATTAATATCACAGAATTATAAATGCTAAGTTGTTCTTTGAGAGATGTCCCTATCGATGCTCCAAAGCATGTCGGTGTGCTGCCTCCGAACCCATTTTCCAGAGTCTTCAAAGCAGTGTCCCTGGAGCCACGCATGCCCGCATCTCTTGCCACATGCTACTACAGTGCAGGCATCACACATGCGCGAGTTTCCTCCCCACCCCCACCCCAATTCATTTTCTGCTGCCTTCGGTCACAGATGGAGCTTGGGCAGTGTTCCCAGCCTCATATCGTGTTTAACATAAGTAATCCCAGTTATTTAGTTTTTACTTGTAGGTAGTTTGTTTTTCCCTTAACTGTTGTTTGTTTAAGTTTAAAAAAAATTTTTTTTCCCTCCATGTTCTTTTCCCTTTTGTTAGTGCTAATAAGTGCCATGTCTGGCTCTCCAGGCTTTAAGTGCTGTTCCACATGGAAGGATACTATTCCCGTCTCGGACGGACACACTCAGTGTGTCTGCTGTCTCAGAGAGGCACACGTTGCTTAGAAATGTCCTCACTGTCCTAAACTGAAGGCCAGAGCATGGCGTGAGAGAGCACTGCACCTCACGCATATTATGCTCGAGAAGTTGTTAAGACTAGCTTCAGACTCAGCAGCCCGAGAAATCCCAAGCACAAAAGGAGA